CGATTTAAAACGAATATTTGCAAGAGCTAGTCATGATGAGATTATTATTTGAGAACACCGGATAAATAGGGAATGAAAAATGAGCTTTACTTTTATATCACTGAACCATAAAAACGCCAATTGTATTCTTCAAATTTCACCATAAAAAAACTAACAAAAATTGAGAATACGAGAGAGACGTTTTTTAACTAGAAATATCTTTTACAAAAATGACTAATGGCACATACAACAAAAAGGTACTTCAGAAAAGTTGAAATTTTATTATTTTTCCAGTATAATATATTTTATACACCTTAACGACCCATGTCAAATTACAGAATTTTATTTAATAAAAAAGAAACCCACTGATTTAATCAGTTTAATATTGTAAAAAAAACAAATGATTAGAAATTTGTTTAAAGGAAATAAAAGAAAGACGCTTTTATTGTGAATTTCCTCTTGTCAGAAACACAAGTATAAGCAGTTTACTAACCTAAATAAATCTACTATCGCGTGTCAGTTGCAGCGAAACAATGTTAACAAAGTTGTAATGGCTAAATATATCTATATCAACAACTTTTAAACTGTTGTGTTCAGTGATCAGATTTAAATATACACATTAACCTATTGTATCAAGTCGAAAATTTTCCGCGATTGTTATTAACATAAAACAAGTATATTTTTTTAAATTCATTTTTATATAAACTAGTTTTTTTTGCAAAGGTTAATACAAAATCATTTTTCGATATTATGTAATGAGAATTCAAAAATATAATTTGAAATGATGACCTTTTAAGAGATACTCACACCAACAAAAGGAATTTATCTCGATTAGAAAGGAAAATTTAAATTCAAGAATGTCAATATGATTATAATAGCAATAAACTATGAATGATTATATGGACAACAATGAAACTTTTAAACTCGATTTACAGCGAATTAAGAAATAACAACTGATTATATCATTAAAAAAAATGTAATTTTTATAAAAATAATTTCTTGGAATTGAGAATCATTAATAATAATTTTTAAAAGCGACCAAGACACTTGATGTAATTTTAGAACTCTCCTCTTCACTTTAAATCGATCAAAGTCGCGGAACAATAGTGATTGAACACTGTTCATTGTCTATAGTGAAAGGAAAGGCGTGTGTGCGAAAGTCAAGTTGAATATCATGAGAATCAACTGATGTGTTAGAGAACACGTAATAACGCGCTGTGGAATGGCACGTGCCGAGATAAGATGCAAATTTCATATATATCAACCAAATTATTTCAATTTACATTTAATTGGAAATTTCCTAAAATATAATAAGGATAGTACACTGAGAAATATATGCTATTGAATCAATAGCATTTCTGCCAAAGGTATAAAAATTATTTATTCAAAAGCATATGCTATAGAATCTATAAAATATTTTACAAATATTATAGCATATGCTTTTGAATCAATAATTTTTATACCTTTGGCAGAAATGCACACATTAAATTAAAATTATCAAATTGATACCAAAAATATCAAATTGATATAAAAATTTGTATCAATTTGACATTTTTGGTATCAAATTGATACTTTTAAATTAGTGTGCAGTTGATTCAATAGCATTTTTTTCTCAGTGTAAATAAATAATATACGAAGAGGATTATGAGTGATCCAACAATTTTCATTACAAATTCAATAAAAACTAAAAAAAAAAAAGCTGAGGCAACTACAAAAATCCATATACAGGACATGGAACACATTATGATATATAGGAGTCGAGTGAAAATTCCATGAATAACAGTGACAAGAATTTTATTGATATTCATTGCGCGACACGCATGATGGAGCAAATCATTGAATCGCATTAACCGCGAATGTCGCATAACTGAAACTGTACACGTATATTACGTGGAAAGTGAAACTCTCAACCTTTACCATAAATGTTCCATCCCTTTCTAAACAACTGTAGTTTCTTGCTATATACTAGTTAATGAATAATTAACGCGACAGAAATTCTACAACTTTTTTCGTTTTTTGAAAATCTCCCCGAAAATGCAAAATCAATTTTATGATGTTGCGAAAATTTTTGACTACAGTAAATCCTCGTTAAAACGAACTTGAAAGGACAGAAAAATTTACCTGTTCGTGTTAAAAAAATTCCACATTCCTTATTCCCCATACCGGATTCCGCTTTCAAAATTCCGTATTTCAGATTCCGGATTCCACTTTCAGAATTCTGGATCCCACATTTCGTATTCAAAATTCTGGATCTCACTTTCAAAATTCCGTATTACACGGAAAGGAAATGCTATCGAAATTTCAGCCATAAACTTATGGTTGAGATTTCTGGTTGAATTGGTTATACAGTCTGTCAAATTGGCAGGTAAGTTAGGTTATATTAGCCATGTGAAGTCTGATTCAGAAATCTTGCTATTTGGAAGTACACAGTAAAAAAAAGTCTTAAACCGTTTACACCTTAAATTAAGCCCATATATTTTGCATAAGTCTGTCCTTTTTTAATTGGTCTGACTCCGTTTACACCTTAAATTCAGCCTCAAAAATAGGCTGAAATCAAGATTTCTTTTTTAGTGTGTACTATTCATTTGGTTGGATTACCCAAACTATATGGCAGTAACAGTGCCATGTTAATTCAGTTATACGATATGACAGAAACAGCAAGAATTATGGCAGTAATTACGAAAAATTTCTTTCAGTGTAGGGATTCCATATTCTGGATCTCACTTTTCACATTTCGGATTCCACCTTTTACATTCCGTATTTCGGATTTCACATTTCGGATTCCACTTTCATAATTCCGGATTCCATATTACACATTCTGAAAGTTAAATTCGGAATGTGGAAAATGGAATCCGCAATATCTCAACCAAAAATTTCAGTATTATACCAGAGTTAACTACTGGCGCAGTACTGGTTTAGTATTGGCTGCCGAGGCTGGGCAGTCTGTACTGAACAAGTACTGGTATTTTAATTGTATCAGTACTGGTGCAGTACCTCCCTCCCAGTCCCTGAGACTAATTCCAAAACATTTTGCAAGTTTTTTTTTATTGTTTTCAGATATTTAATAAACCAAAAAAAATTTTAAACGATCAAACTAAAAATAAATTACAAAAGTACCAGTACTCAGCCAGTACTGAACCAGTAGTGGTTACCAGTACTGGTGCCAACTCTGCAGCCAATACTGGTAAAATGTTATCATCCCAAAGTTACGCCAACTCTGGCGCTAATACTGGGTGCCAGTACTGCGCCAACACTTGTCAGTACTGCGCCATTAGTAAATTTTTGATTGGGATGGGATCTGGAATGAGGGATCCGGAATGAGGAAAGTAAAATACGGAATATAGGATTCGGAATACAGAATTTTAAAAGTGGAATCCGGAATGTGGAAATCGGAATATGAAATCCGGAATGTGGAATTTTACATTCGGAATGTGTAATCCGAAATATGAAAAGTGTAATCCGGAATGTGAAAAGTGGTATCCTGAATACGAAATTAGAAAAGTGGAATCCGGAATACGTAATGTGGAAACCGGAATATGGAATCCAAAATGTGGTATACGGAGTGTTAAAAGTAAGATCCGGAATTTGGGATCCGGAATTGTGAAAAGTGGATTCCGGAATACGGAATGTGAAATCCAGAATGTGGAATCCGGAAAAATTTACGTAATTGACCCCCTGAACTGTTGCACTGAATCACTGGAATCAAAAATAAATTAAGAAATGGAAAAATTAGTGGAACAAAGGCCTTTAGGTGGGAATCTCTTAACTTTTTTGCTCCTATACAATGTACTTTAATATATTATTAAGAAATATAGTTAGTAGTAAGAGCCTTAAATATTGTTCGAGTTTCGTGTTAACAGCTCTCCAAATCTGAATTAGTAAAAATGTTTACTAATTTAAATTAATGACTCACTTTTTGCTTTAGAATTAGTTAAATTTTACTAATTGTTAGTAAAGGTTACTAATAATTAGTAAAATTTTACTAGTTGAGAAGCAAAAAGTGAGTCACTAATTCAAATTAGTAAACTTTTTTACTAATTCAGATTTAGAGAGCGAGGTGCGTTTAATGCAATTTACATAGGGACCGAAATTTTTGTTCGTATTAACCGGGTGTTCGTGTTATCCGAGTTCATATGTTAACGAGGATTTACTGTATTATAAAATAAAAATATTAATAAAACAAGAGTCAAGATTTCTCGCTAAAATTCAAACGAAAAGCGCAATTCTGAAAATTATACAAAGTAAATTACTATCAGACATATATAGATATAGATGAAAAAAAACTTGGCAATCGTAATATGCGAATTTCGTGAAATGTAGAATTACAGAGGATGACATGAAGCATCATAAAAAGTCGTTCTCGTTGTAGCATGCCAGAATTTCCAAGTGTTTTTACTGAAAGAGGATATTCGTATGGTGAATCACCAAAAAGGTTAAACTTTAATGCAATGAGCAAAGTGTTTGTTACATAGTAACGTCAGCAGGAGTTTCCATTTTAGCTACACTGAAAAAATTTTGATGCAGCAGCTGCCCAAACGAAAAATTTCTATATTCAATTACCTTCATATACTTAATATTTGCCATGAGATTTTATATGAGTAAAAACTGAATGTAATAATTTTTCGTTTGGGACAGCTGCTGTACAAAATTTTTTTCTATAGACAAGTCTAGATTAGTCTTCCTAATTCCTTTGAATCATCAACAATTGGACTTTGACTAATTCATCAGATTGGGGAATATATGGAATGCAACTCTTCTCTAATTGATTGTTTGTAATTAATCAAAGAAAAAATTAACCATTCATTCGATATTTAATTAACAAAATTATGTAAATATCGTTTTAAATTTGGTATTTCACATAAATAGTGTTTGATTTCATATAAACCACATTCAATATTTACATGTTCATTTAATATCAACATTTTTGAATTATTACTGATAATTTCAGCTGTTACTTAAAAGAATATTTAATTAAATTCAATTTTTATTTTAAAAAAACATAATTAATAGAAAACACTTACCGAAAGACACTCTCATCATATGAAAGAAGAATTCTAAGAGGTTGACTGATGCTACGCTTCATTATTTTGTGTTTAGGTTCAATGTGCACACCGTGTATCACCTTTTAAAAAACAGAAAGAAATGTAAATAATTATTAATCAAATAATTTAAATAAATTTATATAAATATTCTTATTCAACACAATGATTACAAACTGATATTTGAGTAAAGGAATTTCCTTTAACAATTTAAAAAAAACATTTGATTTAGCTACAGCAATGTCGAATAAGTTTTACCTTGTATTTTGTTTTTTGATATATACACAAATACATATTGGTTCACTTTAATTTCCTTAGTTTTCTTAAGAATATAGTACTTTTCTTTTGTAGTACATACTCCTTTTGTGGTTTCAACTTGTTCACATTTATCGGGGTTAGTTTGATACAATGATATATGCCTCTTGAAAAGAGAACGTAAAAGATACCTTTCTTTAGACGTAAAGTCAGATTTTTATTTCTTGTTACTTATTATACCTTCATTTTTTTTTATTAGAATACCTTTTAAATATACCAAGTTTTCCACCCCTACTGCTGTCCCTTTTATATACATATGTTACATTTGTTCCTTTCATAAGTTATTTTTCTCTTTATTTATAACTGAATTTTATTGAGGAACAACTCTTTTTTAATACTAAAAAAATTTTTCAACAAAAGTAAGTAATGTTCGCTTTAATATTTTTATAAATTAACTAAATGAAAAATGGTTTAAAGAGTAATGTTATTTTATTTATTTTTAAATAATTCACAGTAAAAAAAATAAGGATTTTCAATTTCCTAGATTCGTTGCTGAAATAAAGAATTTAACGAGCAAGAGGGATGAAAGGAAAGACATGTTTCCATCTCACAGGAAACATTTTCGAGATGTAAGTGTTTGTGCGAATTGTCGAAAATACTCGGCAGACTTTCCGTTGTATTGCAGTAGAATTCAGTTAGACAAAAAGTCACTACTCCCACAACTCGTTTGCAGACAAGCAGATGGATAGACGGATTTCAGGTTTGTCTTGTTACAACTTTTGTTACACCTAAGATACGACCCTGTTTTTTTTTTACTCAGAAACTGAGGAAATGATTTACTCTAGTAAAGTTTAATAAAAAAAAAACAAAGATAGTAAAATACAGAAAATATTTATTTATCTTAATTTTTTTTTAAACAAATGAAAATTTGCTATTCATACTTGTAAATAGATAGTATAAACTGATATGTGGTCTATCTGAGTAGTCAAAATTCAATTACAACCCGCATTAATAATAATTGGTGCTGTCATTCACTCTATATCTTGATCAGGCGACTGATAAACTAATTTTAAACTTGAAAGTTTTTAAAACTTTAAAATGCTTTTGAAAGAGAACATGTATATAAGTGGAATAACAGTAAAATAAAACTCACAAGTTTTTTCCCTTACGTTTTGTTGTACCCTTTCAAGCTCTTAACTTCCGGTTGCTTTTAATGTTTAGTAGCAAGTTAAAGATAACACGCGAAAAAGTAACTCAGCATAAATTCTTCACAATATTTTATACATTGGAATTTTAAAAATAATGGGATAATTAAATATTGTATAAATTAGAAACAATACAATGGAATAATAAAAATAGGAGTAATAAAGCTAAAATATAGTTAATAATAACAAAACAAAGTATAGGATTTATAATCTTAAAAATCAATTAAAACTGTAACCAAAAACATAATGAAAAACAAATATTAAGTTTAAACGAAAAAATATTCGATTCATTGGTTCTACGGCTTTACAAATATTGAGAAATAATATTATTTTTTGTTTGTAAAATATTTCGGACAAGAAAAAAATTATTCTTTGATTTCTATATTCTATTGATTACTTTTGTAAGGTACTTGAATTGATTCTACTTCATTTTTTATAGGCACTATTGACAAAAAAGAAATAAACAAAAACTCGTTATGAAAACAAAAATGATTACAGAAACACTCCAATATTGACTATAAATTGTACATTTTTCCTAACATAATTCGATTGTGTAAATAAATAAATCCTTTTTTTAAATTAAAATTATGGTATTTATTTGATAATAATAACCGATTACTTGAATCAAATAAATAATTTTTTCAGTGTGAAAATGCATTTCTTTAAAAAGAATTTTTTACCGTGCACGCTTGTTAATTTGCATTATAAAATCTTATGAGCATAAAATTAGTTATATAAAATTTAAAACATTAAAAATTTGATAACCTTCATCGATTAAATCATGTTATTACATACTGGAGTCAAACTCCCTCTGGTAATTTTAAACCCTCAATTAATAGTTGGTAGTAAACTTGATAATTGCTGAGAGTTATAAAAATATCAAAAAATTAAAGAAGGTAATTCAGATATAAATATTAAGTTATTAAATATGTTAATATTAAACAAGAAAAAATGATTTGTAAAAATAAATAAAAAATAATCTGTCTGAGACATTTTAATTTTTCATTTAAAGTAATTAAAATCTTGTCTAGATATTTTTCGTTTTGGCTACAGCTATAGACTTGTGATAAACCTACAAATGGAAGTATGCCAATTATTGAACCACGAGAGAGAAAAACAAAAGACACCTATAGCAACATTTTTATAACACAAGAAGTGCAGAAAAAACGTTTAAATACTTTTTTCTTTCAGAAGACTTTTTTCATGAATATTATATAATAATGAAAGTAATTAAAGACATATTTCAAAATAAATTTGTAATTTATAAAATTTTACAATAATTTGCCTTCAAAGCAAAATTTAATTCATTACATTTCCAACTCGAACTATCCTTTCAAACAGATGAAATCTGCAAATTTTCAATAATTTCTAAACTAAACTGATTTTAATGAGAGTAAATTCAAATTCTAGAATTAGATAAACAAAAAATGATTAATTCATTTTAAGACTTAACTCTGTTATTAATTTGAAACATTTAATTAATATATATATATATATATATATATATATATATATATATACATGTGTGAAAAGTATAAAAATGTTTTTCGATAAAAAAAATTTAATTAACGAACCAATGAAAAGTTTTCCAATTTCAATGCTCAGAGAGAATCAGTCAGGAATTTGTTCAAATTGTTATATTTGTTGAATTATAGAGGTGGAAGTTGGAAAATATATGACAACTATGTTCGTGCTTAGTTTGGAAAATACAGAGCAATGAAAATTGCTATCGTCAAAGTTTACTCCCATCATATACAACGCACAACTACACTTTATTAACGAAATCAATTTGTGTAATTCATTTTTAATTAAATTTTGAAATTCATCCAGTTTATTTTTCTATTTTTAAGAAAAAGTCGAATCCAAATTGAATTTAATTAAATTGAAATTTAATAAATTTTTGCAGGTCATTTGAAAAAAAATATATCACAAAGAAAACATTATGATTTAATTAAATATGTAAATTTCATGTCGAAAAGGGAAATTTTTAATTTCAATATTTATATATCCATATATTTTTTAATCAAAGCTATCCTATAGCTATACTCTGTTATCATTTTTCAACGTTATTACTTTTATTCTCAGTCTCTTGAGTAGTACGAGTCAAGCTCAGGTCCGCCTTTATACACATATATACAAAAGTTTATTCTGTCGTGCTTTAAAAAAAGACGTTTTTTTTCATTCTTAATAATATGTTACAGAAAAATGAAAATAGAATTTTTAATGTCAGATTATTTGTCTCTTCACCGCGTGTTATCCAATTTTATTTAACCTAAAATCATGCGCTTATTTCCAAATCTGCATGTTTAGAGGTTGAAAAGAGGTCTTGGAATTTTTTCTTAATTTGAATTTTTCGAAGTTTTATTCCTTCTAAAAGTTTTATAGTATTACGACAAAGACCAATAAATATATCTTCAATAGGGTCAATAAATAATGTCCATAAGAAAAAAAATCCAATTTTTACATTTTTTCGTTTTTTTTTTTGTTTTTTTTAACCTCTTTTACGCCTCTCTAGTCATCTTTAAACCATCCTTTCAGCCTCCAATATAGCAGATATTTCCACTTTTGCAAATTCGCGTTCAAAAAGAGGGTATGAAAGTGTTGAAGAGAATAAAAGGAGGATAAAAGGAGGTTTTTAGAGAACTTATAGAGAGTCTAAATTTCGACTCGGGAAAAGAACAAATTTTAAAAAAAAGGCAGTTACTACTGTTGCAATAACTAACTATAAGAGCGCATTTTCCGAACGTTTTAAACTTCAATGCGTGTCGTAATTTGTGCAAATAAGTATATACTCAAACACAGATGGTGACAAGATTTTACGTATTTGACGCTAAAGCATCTCTCTTGGGTGATCAACTTTCTAAAACTTAAGTATTATATAATAGATATTTTTAATGCAATCGAGGAATCTTTTAAGGAAAAACTATTTTTTACTATTTTCCAACAACTTTTTTCAAACGCCTTTAGATAACTTTAAATTATTACAAAGTTTCATTAGCAGGTGAACGTTTACTGAGATTATTATAAAGTATTTAATAGTCATGTCACGACATCTTGATTCTATTAAAGAGATGTTGCCAATCTATTGTCGATCAGGCAGAAAGCTAAACCAAAATGAAGACCGTCACGATCAAAGAGCGAAAGGACTTGACACGTACTAGAAACTTGGAAAATTCAATTACGATCTAGTCAGTGTCAATTACGACTTGGAAACTTGGATAATTCGTGAACAATGCGAAAAATCAATCCAATAAGAGCTCAGAAAAACTCAAATAAAAAATTATACTCAAAATACTTTCTCATTCAATAAGTAGCTTTTTAAAGTTTAATTTAACTTATGCAGAGTATACTTCAAATTATAAGAACACAGAAAATTAAAAGGCATTAAAATAAGCTGCAACGCTTATTATTTTAATCCAATTTTGCTTATTTTAATACCAAAATGGATTAAAATAAGCAAAATTGGATTAAAATAATATCAGCGTTTCAGCTTATTTTAATGCCTTTTAATTTTCTGTAAATAGCAGAAAATTCCGTTATATTAATATAAGATGCAACTCTTATTTTAATACAATTATTAAAAAATATATATATAATAGTATTACACAATTTTCTGCGATAAA